TCTGTGTGGGTGGGTTTGCGGTACACCTCAGTTTGCAAATGTCCTCTATCAGAGACTGAGACCTCACAGTCCAAGAAAGCCAACTTGCCATTTTGAACATCTTCTCGTGTGAACTTGATGTATTTATCCACAGAGTTGATGTGGTCAGTAAAATGTTGGACTTCCTGAGATTTAATTTTAACCCAGGTGTCGTCAACATACCTGAACCAATGACTTGGTGGTGTCCCTGAAAAGGACGTCAAGGCTCTCTTTTCTACCTCCTCCATGTACAGGTTGGCAACAATAGGAGAAACTGGAGACCCCATAGCACACCCATGTTTCTGCCTATAATATTGCTCCCCATATGTGAAGTAGGTTGACTGCAGGCACAGTTTCAAGAGTTGACACAGTTGTTCTGTGGAAAGCGTGGTCCTACTGCTCAGAGTGGTGTCTGATTTTAATTTTAAACTGACCACCTCTACTGCATCATCAACAGGAATGCATGTAAAGAGTGATGTGAAGAGACCATTGTTTGTTCAGTCTCCATGATGACATCCCTCACCTTATCCACAAAGTCCATGGTGTTCTGTATGTGGTGTTCTGAGCGGCCAACTAAAGGGATGAGTACAGACGCCAGATATTTGGAAACATTGTAAGTGACAGAGTTAATCATGCTAACGATTGGTCTTAAAGGTACACCTTGTTTGTGGATTTTAGGTAAACCATACAGACTAGGTGTGGCCTCCCCTGGGTACAGTCTGTGGTACAGAAAACGGTCAATGGCCTTGTCCTGCTCCAAAATTTTCAGGCAATCTATCAATTTCTTCTTGTAACCACTTCCCGGATCTCTTTTCAGAGGTTCATAAGTGTTTAAGTCACTAAGGAGTGTCATAACTTTCTCATGATAGTCTTTCTGGTTCAAAATCACTGTGCACCTTCCTTTGTCTGCTGGGAGAATGATGATGTCTTTGTCCTTGCTAAGAGTGGTGAGTGCATCCCTCTCCTCTCTACTGATGTTGGAAGGTGGTGGTTTGGCATTGCTGAGGCAGGCTGAAACTTTGATTCTGAGCTGTTCTGCTTCAGCCTCTTTAATTTTGTTATTGCGGATGGCTGATTCTGTGGCTGTGATCATCTCCACCAGAGGAATTCTACTTGGTGCAACCACAAAGTTCAGTCCCCTGGCAAGAATCTCTGTCTATGGCTGGGTGAGCTGTCTGTCAGATAAATTCTTCACCCACTTTTCTGTCTCCCTGGCATGTAATTGACTACTGGAGTGTTGTCCTACACTGAATGTGTTGTTATTGGAATAGTGATGGTGTTGATGAGCTATTAGTATTATAGGCAGAATTATAGGCAGATATTATAGGCAGAAACATGGGTGTGCTATGGGGTCTCCAGTTTCTCCTATTGTTGCCAGCCTGTACATGGAGGAGGTAGAAACGAGAGCCTTGACGTTCTTTTCAGGGACACCACCAAGTCAAGTATGTTGACGACACCTGGGTTAAAATCAAATCTCAGGAAGTTCAACATTTTACTGACCACATCAACTCTGTGGATAAATATATCAAGTTCACATGAGAAGATAGGTTGGCTTTCTTGGACTGTGAGGTCTCAGTCTCTGATAGAGGACATTTGCAAACTGAGGTGTACCGCAAACCCACCCACACAGACCAGTATTTGCAGTTTGACTCCCATCACCCTTTGGAGCACAAGTTAGGAGTCATCAGGACTCTGTATCACAGAGCAGACAGTGTCCCCACTAGCTCAGGAGCCAGGCAGAAGGATAAATCCCACTCAAGACAGGCTCTAGAGCAATGTGGATATCCTAACTGGGCCTTCCTGAAAGCAGAGAAGAAACCCAAACAGGACTCCAGTCAGCCAACAGGTGAAAAGGAGGAACCCAGACCCAGACCATTGGTCATTCCATATGTTGAGGGAGTATCAGAGAAACTGAGACGTTTATTTTCTAAACATAACGTCCCAGTGACTTTTAAACCCCAAAGACTGGTTCATCCCAAAGATCCAGTCCCCCGACACAAACAGAGTAATGTTGTGTATGCTGTTCAGTGTCAGGAGGGCTGTGATCAGTCTTACATCGGGGAAACAAAACAGCCACTGGCCAAAAGGATGGACCAGCACAGAAGATCAACATCATCAGGCCAGGACTCTGCGGTCTACACTCATCTCCAGGCCAGCGGTCACTCTTTCAGGGATGAAGATGTTCACATCCTGGACAGAGAGGAACGATGGTTTGAGAGAGGAGTAAAGGAGGCCATCTTTGTGAAAAGAAATCGTCCATCGTTAAACAGGGGTGGAGGCCTCCGGGTTCAACTGTCCCCCTCTTACAATGCTGTGATTGCTAGTATCACTCAACCCTCTGTGAACAGTAAACAGCCATCAGTGTGCTAATGATCCATTGTTAGGCTGATGGTCCTTCTTGAGCATGTGATCAGCTGGTTTTGGTTGTCAGCAGCAAAACTGGTTGATCCACTCTGAGACGGTGCTATTTAGGAGACTGAGCTGAATACAGCTCCTCAGACTGAGGAAGTCTCTCGGATGAGAGACGAAACGTTTCTACATTTTTTTGTTGATTTGCTTTGTTTTGTTTTTTTGAATGTCCAGAGGACCAGATTTAACTTTTTTAGATCCTTAACCAAGGGCTTCTCCTGACAGCACACGTGCAAATTAAGGTCCCCAATAATGAAAACATGATCATATTTTGGTGTGATTTCAGCCAAGAAATCAGAAAACTCATTTATGAAGTCCTTAGATCGAGGTGGGTGGTAAACGAGCGCACATAAAGTCGAAGGCGAATGGCTGAGTTCAAAGACGCTCAGCTCAAAGCTGGCACAGGAAACTGGGATGGGCAGTTGTTTACAGTCAAATGTTGGTTTGAATATTGTTAATAATCCACCACCACGCCGGCCTGATGGCTGCGGTGCGTTAAAATACAGACAGTTCGGTGGCAATAATTCTGTCAAGGCACTGGACTCACCCGGAAACATCCAAGTCTCTGTGATGCAGAAAAAGTCCAAATCATGCTCTTGAAAGTAGTCCCTGAGGATAAAAGTTTTGTTGGTAACAGATCTTGCGTTGACCAAACACATCCGGATACTGTCCAAAGTGGAACCAGCAGCGGTGGAGTTTGTGCGCACCAATGGCCGCAGGTTTTCAATAACGGCCCCTCCGGGTCGGTCCGTGCGGCCCACCGGCCGACAACTCTCGTTGTTTACCTGGTCCGGGCACGCGGGAAGCTGGCAATGGAAACCATGACCACCAGCTGAAGAGGAAGATGCAGCACGCAGGGCTTTAAGCACGTTTTCCCCGGCGTCTGGAGCGATGTCTCCGGGCAGGCAGGTGGAGAGCGCGGCGGAGGTAAACAGGCACGTCCACCAGCAGCCGGTGAGGGGGTGGGGGGGGTCCAGAGGTACGCTCATATTGGTCCAAATAAACGACATCGGTGGCAGAAAAACAAAGATCCAGTAGCTGTTGTCGGTCATACACCAGCAGCAAGTTTATGTCCCAGATAAAAAACAAACAAAACACAAATAATCCGAACACCATCAGCAGAGGTGGATTGCAAGCCATGTACACAGGCGCCCTCTTACTGGAAGATGAGACATACCTGTTTAGATTTTCGTCTTCTGTTTAAACTTTTCAGTTTAAAACTTTCACTTTCAGAGAACTCCCTGATCTAAAGCAAATAATTCCTGTGAAATTTCTGAGATCAGTATGGAAACTCCTTTATATGGCCTTCCCAAACGGTTTACTGACACAAAGCATATCTTTGTGTCAGTGCATATCAAAACATACTGTATCTGCTCAGCTGGGATTCCCAAAGGCTTTATTTTTGGAACTATTCTTTTTAACCTTTATGTTAATGATTTACCAAATGCTTGTTCAAGTGATAAAGTTAAGTTATATAGAGGTGATACTGTATTGTTTTAATGACTATTTGTTTTGCACACTTGTTTTATAAAATGCATTTTTTTTTAACTTGCTCTCAATAATGGATGAAATCTAGCGCTGCACATTTATAATACTGAAATATTAATCACCGTGCATTGTCTTTTTAAATCAATAAATTAAATTAAATGAAACCAACTGAATGGCAGCACAGTGGCACAGTTGGTAGAGCTGCCGCCTCTCAGCGAGAATGTTGCCAGATCGAATCTCAGCCAGGGACCTTTCTGGGTGGAGTTTGCATGTTCTCTTCATGCATGTGTGGGTTTTCTCCGGGTACTCGGGTTTCCTCCCTCAGACCACAAACATGCATGTTAGGCTGACTGGTAACTCTAAATCGTCCATAATGAGTGCGAATGGTGGACTGTCTCGTTTGTCTCTGTGTCCTTGTGATGGACTGGAGACCTGTCCAGGGTGTTCCCCACCTCTAACTGCTGGATATGGGCACCAGTGACCCCCATGACCAGAAAGGAAGAAGTGGGTAAAGATAATGGATGGATGGAAACCAATTGATGTGTGAGGTAAAATGTGAAGATGTGACAGGTACTATGAAAATAAGGTCCAGTATGTGGAGTTTATATTTGCTGAAACATGATCAGTATTCTAAGAAAAAACATACTTTTCTGCTTTAAAAAAAATCATATGTACTATGTTAGATCTATACAACTTAAAAGATAATGTCATCATGAATGAATCAATTAACATTGCTGACAGAACAAAGATTTGCATTTTTACACTAAGTGTCTGTGATAAACAAGGAAAACATCTGATGTCCACAACTAACCACTATCATCATGGTCTCCTGCTGCTAAAGAATAGCAAAATGATACAGACACAGTTAAGAAAAATACTGATAATGTTTAAGTTGGGAAAAGCAGGACTTCATCATCACTGGGGGGGATTAAGGCTGAAATTGTTTATTTTTTGCTTCATGCTTACATTATATCATTGGTATATAGTTTAAGTAAAAAATAAAATAAAATAAAAATCCCAGGAACCAATGACTGATGTTCACTGAAGCTGAACTGACATAAAATGTGAAAAAGAATATGACTTACTGTGGGCTGAGTCGAAGGTCCCACAGTCTAATGAAAGTATCATAACCGCAGGTGAGGAGCTGGAATGGTGACTCAAACTGTATATCCAGCACACCAGCACCACGACGAAACTCTGAGCCCAGAATGCACACACATGCTGACCTGAGGAGAAGAAAGGGATAAAACAAATAAAAATAAAAAATACAAATAACATATTCATGAACTTTTTTGTACATTTTCCAAAAGGAAATGCAAATAAGTACTGAATAATATTTAAACAGAGTACAAAAACTAACATTTTGATGGAGAAAAAAATTATATCTAAAATGTGCTTTTTGCATAAGTGACAGCAGCATGGCAGACTCACACAAAACATCTAAAAGTAAAAAAAATGCTGCTTATTTTTGTCTGGTTTTGAAACCTTATTTCATAATGATCATTTTACCCAGGCAGTTAGTAACTGTTTTTTTAGTTATGCAGTAAATTCTATTTTTTTTCCCCGTTTACGTAGAATAAATATCCATTGTTACTTTTACTCACAGAAGTAATGGAAACTGTGTAAGTGAACATGATTAGCTTGTAAACACACGCAACTTGCATGCACGTTGAAGTGATGAAGTTTGTCCATCTGGGTTGATGATGTGTGACCTCATGGTGTGTCCAGTGAACCCAACCCCATGCAGCACTATGCTCTTGTGATCACAGCTCAGTATCGCTTGCTCCTCAGTTCTTGATTATTGGAGAATAACTTGCACTCAGCAGGGCAGATTATTGCAGAATAACTGTCTCTTTGTTACCATTTAATGCCCTCCATGACCGTGACTGTGTGCTACTCTCACATGTGTGATACCTACTTCGTAGCAACCATTTAAAGGAGGCCACTGGCCTTGGCGACAAGGCAGTGCTGTGCTTCAACCCGTGCCCCCTCCTTTGCCCTGGAGCTCTATCTGCCTGCTCAGGCTAGTAATCCCCTAGCCTTAAGTCAGGGGACCTTCTTATTGGGCCAGGGTTTTCCCCACAGGGCGCTTTATTGGGTGAGATCTCCCTCATTGCCAGAGTCTCAGGACTAAGCCAGGATCGATGGGGAGTCCAAGATGAGGCTAAGTTTGGGCTTGTGTATATATAAACCTCCCATTTTCTCTTTACCACTAAAACCTGGAAGTTTAATAAATGCCACACAAAAGAAGACTCAGCCAGCCCCAAAGGATACAAACATGCTTATTAATAACTAATTAACAGCATCAGAATCTTAAAAAATGTTCTGAGGGAAAAAAAAGTTGAAGAAAGTTACAACCAACAAATTGAGAAAATAAAATGAAAGCTTGACTTCTATGAAAATGAACCTGACATCTGTGCAAGGCAGTAATAGCACAGTGCAAAGTGCAAAACAGCAGGGACTCTTAAATTGTAGGCCGTCGGCTTTTGTGGACAGTGCATGATTACAGGATGGAGGCATGAGCATATAATTTGTCAAAGTGACTGTATCTGTTTGTAAATGGCAGCACCTTGTATCTGAACATCCTTTCTATTGCTTGACATAGTACATAATGTATAATACTCAAATATGGTTTCAAGCATGTCTCAGTTGTAACCATTAGACAATCAGTCTTCTGAAGGCAAGTAGAACACACCATCTTTGGAGATAAACTAAAGTTCACAGACAAGCTTGTGTAAAGTACTTTTAATGGTTTTCAAATCACAAATGTGCAAATGTGTAAATCTTATTAATATCTTATTTTATATGCCCTTTTAGTCAAGATAACCTCTTTAGCCAGTATCTCACTGCGCTATAACTATTGAAGATTAGTTTGAGACTCAACCTGTGAGAACATGGTCATATTTGTATTACTGAATTCTGAGTGTTTGCAACAAAGTGACCAGTGAACAATGCAATGGATAGTTTTCACGTGACATCACAAGCTGCTGGAAAATGCCCACTGGAGGGCAAAACAGGTCCAGCTCTCTCAGTCAATTGATCAATGTCTGTTTTTTCAAGCCAAAATGCTGGATCTTTACTGTTCTATGGGGTGCACTAATAGAGGTGGAGAAAAGTCAGATGCGTTTTTACAGGATTTCATCAAAAGCAGATTGTGGATTTGTGCTTCTCTACATGAGGAGGGGGGGTTGGGGGGGGGGGGGGGCGCTAAACAATGACAGTCATGGGAGTACACTCATCTTTGTAGCAAACATTTTTTCAAAGATACTATTACAATTATTTTGTCGTTTTTGATTCAGGTGTTTAGTTTTGGTTGCTACAGCTTTATGTAATGAAGATTAGTGGATCATGAGCTCTAATAACTTAATGAGATAGTGATGAAAGCACGCTAATGCTAATACAAGCTAAATGTTGCCAACATTAACTCAGGAAGCTTTTTAACTGAAGTTAACTCTAGTTTTACATTAAGTCATCTTTATATGAAGGAGCTAAGTTTACATTAACCATAAACTTATGTCAAACTTTTTAATGATTCATGTAAACATCAGACAGAAAAAGAGTCCAGTAAATGTCTCTGTCAGACCTATTTTTACATTTGCACAAATTAAAAAAAAAACTGATATAAAGTTATTTGCTATCTGACAAAAGGAGATTTGAACACAGAATAAAAACCTTTTCTGCTAATGCCTTTGTCTGGTTATTTCTGTCCATGGAAACAGCTGATTTAAAGTCATCAAAAGGATTGTTTCTGACAGGTGACTGTGCAAACACAACCACTCATGTTAATCAAATCACGTGTTAAAAACTTTATATGTATGTATATGTATATATATATATATAATATTGAAAAATAGTAAAATATATACGTATATATAGTAGTCCCTCGCAACTTTGTAGTTTATCGTAGACTATCACATTTTTTCAAAATAAGATTGGACATGACACACAATTAGCCGATTGATGGATGAGCCGCACAATGGGTGTGACATTTTTATTTAAAATGAACTATTTAAAATTATTTAGCACTTGTTGCACCTGTGTGCAGCCCACAGCTGCAGGATAAACTTCCTCCTGCAGCTGATCAGCTGTTCTCCGTGCAGAGCAGAGAAGTGGGCGTGGCCGAGAGCGCTTGCAGGTGGCAAAGAGCAGCAGAGGCAGGGAGCTGAAATCATGACATTCTGTGCTCTTTTAGAGTGTTTAGAGTTTAGAATATTGCAACAGTGTGGGAAGGGTTTAAAATGCCTATACATATATATATATATATATATATATATATATATACATACATACATACATACAGGGCCTTCTCAAAAAATTAGCATATTGTGATAAAGGTCATTATTTTCCATAATGTAATGATAAAAATGAAACTTTCATATATTTCAGTTTCATTGCACACCAACTGAAATATTTCAGGTCTTTAATTGTTTTAATACTGATGATTATGGCATACAGCTCATGAAAACCCAAAATGCCTGTCCCAAAAAATTAGCATATCATGAAAAGGTTCTCTAAACAAGCTATTAACCTAACCATCTGAATCAACGACGTAACTCTAAACACCTGCAAAAGATTCCCAAGGCTTTTAAAAACTCCCAGCCTTGTTCATTACTCAAAACCGCAATCATGGGTAAGACTGTGACAAGTACAGGTCCTTCTCAAAAAAATAGCATATTGTGATAAAGGTCATTATTTTCCATAATGTAATGATAAAAATGAAACTTTCATATATTTGAGATTCTTTGCACACCAACTGAAATATTTCAGGTCTTTAATTGTTTTAATACTGATGATTATGGCATACAGCTCATGAAAACCCAAAATGCCTGTCCCAAAAAATTAGCATATTTCATGTATTACAAGTATTTTTAATACAAAAAACGCCAACCTTCAAATAATCATGTTCAGTTATGCACTCAATACTTGGTCGGGAATCCTTTTGCATGAATGACTGCTTCAATGCGGCATGGCATGGAGGCAATAAGCCTATGGCACTGCTGAGGTGTTATGGAGGCCCAGGATGCTTCGATAGCGGCCTTAAGCTCATCCAGAGTGTTGGGTCTTGCGTCTCTCAACTTTCTCTTCACAATATCCCACAGGTTCTCTACGGGGTTCAGGTCAGGAGAGTTGGCAGGCCAATTGAGCACAGTAATACCATGGTCAGTAAACCATTTACCAGTGGTTTTGGCACTGTGAGCAGGTGCCATGTCGTGCTGAAAAATGAAATCTTCATCTCCATAAAGCTCTTCAGCAGATGGAAGCATGAAGTGCTCCAAAATCTCCTGATAGCTAGCTGCATTGACCCTGCCCTTGATAAAACACAGTGGACCAACACCAGCAGCTGACATGGCACCCCAGACCATCACTGACTGTGGGTGCTTCACACTGGACTTATGGCATTTTGGCATTTCCTTCTCCCCAGTCTTCCTCCAGACTCTGGCACCTTGATTTCCGAATGACATGCAAAATTTGCTTTCATCCAAAAAAAGGACTTTGGACCACTGAGCAACAGTCCAGTGCTGCTTCTCTGTAGCCCAGGTCAGGCGCTTCTGCCGCTGTTTCTGGTTCAAAAGTGGCTTGACCTGGGGAATGCGGCACCTGTAGCCCATTTCCTGCACACGCCTGTGCACGGTGGCTCTGGATGTTTCTACTCCAGACTCAGTCCACTGCTTCTGCAGGTCCCCCAAGGTCTGGAATCGGCCCTTCTCCACAATCCTCCTCAGGGTCCGGTCACCTCTTCTCGTTGTGCAGCGTTTTCTGCCACACTTTTCCCTTCCCACAGACTTCCCACTGAGGTGCCTTGATACAGCACTCTGGGAACAGCCTATTCGTTCAGCAATTTCTTTCTGTGTCTTACCCTCTTGCTTGAGGGTGTCAATGATGGCCTTCTGGACAGCAGTCAGGTCAGCAGTCTTACCCATGATTGCGGTTTTGAGTAATGAACAAGGCTGGGAGTTTTTAAAAGCCTCAGGAATCTTTTGCATGTGTTTAGAGTTACGTCGTTAATTTTTTGGGACAGGCATTTTGGGTTTTCATGAGTTGTATGCCATAATCATCGGTATTAAAACAATTAAAGACCTGAAATATTTCAGTTGGTGTGCAATGAATCTGAAATATATGAAAGTTTCATTTTTATCATTGCATTATGGAAATTAATGACCTTTATCACAATATGCTAATTTTTTGAGAAGGACCTGTATGTGCTCTATCTCCACCAATCTTCATG